TTATCCAAAAGGAAAGTTTCATATACACAGTATTCTCTACAGGTCAATAATGGTATTTGAATAATGGGCACATAAAGGTTTAATATACCATATTCTCTTTTCTTTTTTGTGCCTTTGCAAGTTACCATCATTTTTAAAATTTCTGTGTCTAGTTATGAAGGAAGAAAAGGAAGAAAACATATCAATTTGTTACTGTTGGCTATGTTTAGACAACAGAATAATGGCATTTTGATGGGGAGTCTTAAACCCTTCTTTATACATCACTACATTATTTTACTCTGTACAAAGAGCATGCGTTCCTTTTATATTACAAAAATACAGAAATATTTATTACACAAAATACTACCATTTTGCAAAGTAATATATTTTACAAGAATACATATTGCAGTGTATTGTGGATTAAGAGGAGTACTGTGACTGGTGACATCTTATTTTTTTACTTTTTATGTATTTAGTACAGGGCCTACAGGGTCTCACTACAGTGAGCCCCTGTCCCTGTGCCTGCCTACGCAGGCACTTTAGTCTGCTGAGCTATCTGGCCAGCCCTCAGGTGTCATCTTATTTTGGTAAAGAATGAAATGCATGCTAGGAGAGGGTGGCTGTCAGTTTTCTGTAGCAGCAGACTTCACTTTTCACTGAAACCTGTTAGGTCTGTGGGTGTGGAGCCCAGAGCCCCATTCTCAGCATTCTAACCACAACCCTATTTTCCTACCCCTGCCCAGCCGGCTACACTTATTGCTCAAGAGTTATTCTGGAAACCTTGAGACTAGGTGTTCCCTAAGGTCTGACTGGTGGCATTCATGCTGCATGACTTGATATAGAAAAATGAATTACTTTGATGGAACTATCTCACCAGAAACCAGCTGTAAGTTCCAGGGCAGACCCCTACTTCTAATGCCTTGGATATATAAATGTTGGAGCTCCACTACCCAGCTCTGATAATTCTCCTGAATGACTCTCAGAACACAAGAAGGCAATTAGAGTCAGATGTACTGGTCCATGCCTGTGATCCTAACACCCTAGGAGACAGAGGCAGGAGGATAACACCCTGGAACCTAGTCTGGGCAACCTAGTGAAGACTTTGTTTCAAAATTTAAAAATGAAAAATAGATCTGATGATGTAGCTTAGTGCGAAGGTCTGGGTTCAATCTTCAATGTTGCAAAAATAAATAAATGAGATGAACAAAAAATAAAATAAGAAACATTGTTTACTGTTGCTGTTTAATGCAAAGGACACAACATGGGAATCGTCTGAACAGATGCACAGGGGAGGCCTAGCCTGGGGTGGCCCATGTCTTATTTTAGGTGTGCCCTCTCTCTGCTTATCTTTATGTTCACCAACCTGGAAGTACCCCAAACCCACCATTTAGATCTTCATTGAGGTTTTACTACATAGGTATGATTATTCAACCACTGGAGGCTGAACTCTCACTCAATGGCCTGTTCCCCTCCTGGAAAGCAGGAAATAGGAGGGAACTTTTACCCACTGATCATCTGATCCATTTCTCTGACCATGGGTGCTGCACACCTATAGCATCTCATAGGCACACACATAACAGGAAATACCCAGAGTTCTAGGAATGCCATTCCACTGACTGGGACAAAGACTAAATATTTATTTATTTATTTATTTATTTATTTATTTATTTATTTACTATATTGTATGAGGGACCCAGAGGTTAGACATGCTGATGAATAATGGCTGAGGGCAAATAAAGGTTGAAATCTGATTATCTTAAAATGTGAGATCACTTCTCTGCTTAGCTCTGCCTAAACTTATGTGAAGCATCTATAAGAAAAGGTTTATTAACCCTAAAGTTATCCAGTCTGTTGCATTCCCTTTTAAGTTTGAGCACATCAAGATAGGAATAATCAAAATACATTTCAGGATTTGCAGGAACACTCAATTGCCTGTTTTCACAAAATCCATATTGAGATCTCCTGGACCCATGCCTGGAAATCTCCAAACTTTCCCTTAAGCTGTAATTACCCTAGATTCTGGGAAAAGTAGACCTTTCAGACTACTCACTTTTCAGACTACTCAAGGGGGACCAGTGGTGCTATGACAGGACCCAGTGTTGCCCCCTCCCTCAGAAGGAGCCTTCATCTTCTGATGGCAACTGGATTGTTTCCTATAAAGATGATGCCCTCCCAAACCAGTCCTGATGGACCAATTAATAGGACCACAAATTGACCAGCTATGCCATAAGCTGCCAGCTATAGCAAGCAAACAACATTTGCCTTTTTTTAAAAAAACCATTTCTCTAAAACCTTAGAACTTCTAGCAGCCTCCAAAAGGCAGATAATGACTATAGTTATCAGTCCTTCCCAGCATGGTCAATCTCCTTTCCCGCTCTTCACCACTGTTCATCTCTTTTACTGATGTTTTATTGATGAGGCAGATGGGCTGTGTCTGGACTGTTCAGACCCCTGGATTTTGCATCGAAATTCCAGGAATAATGCCACACTGGTTCAGGCTGCTGACTGCGGCCCGGGATGGCCAAAGATCAGGAAGAGAGAAAGTCTCAGAGCCAGAATTCAAGATTGGACAGAACTGTCTAATGTGCATTTGATACATTTTTTAGAGGGTTGGGGAGATACCTTGGCACTCTAAGCACCTGCCTGGAAAGTGCAAGGACCCATGTTTGATCCCTGGTACCACATGCTGTATTGGCCCCTAAACTCAGCACAAGCTAGTGCCAGCCACCAAATTGGGTATGGTGGCACACCCCTGTAATCCCAGTGCTGGGGAGGCTGAGACAGGAGGATCACATACATACATACATACATACATACATACATACATACCTTTTAGTCATGAAATGTCCTCAGAGTTACAACGTTCTAATTTCTCAGAACAATTACCTCCCTGCCAAAAAAAAAAAAAACCCAAAACAACAAAAACAACCCAAAACCTCAAAAATGATTGACCTTACCCAACCATACAACCTTCACTGTTGTTTCTGCAGCTTCTCCCACTGACCATGCAGGAGGGGAGAGTTAGGACTTACCTGGGCAAGAAAGCGTTGTCTCATGCCCTTGGTTAGTGGCTACTAAGGTGGCAAGGAGGGCAAAGAGAGCTGCAGAGAAGCAGAGCTGATGCATCCTGCTGGCCTGGACTGGAGGTTGCTTGCACCTGGAGGCTTGCTGAGACTGAAGGCTCCTTTCAGAACTGGACTGGAGGCTTCCTTACTGAGTTGTGGAAAGATATTGAAGGGGAGGGGAATGAAAAAGGGGAGGAACTCATAACTTCCTAGGACTGCATGACTTCCCACAGGCAGGCTTCCTGATTCTGGTGGCCATGGCTAACAGTCTCAGCCATAGGCCTTCCCAAGTGGTAGCAGTGGGAGCTGCTTGGGATCTCCTAATGCATATTCTGACTTAGCCTGTCTGGGGTGAGCTTCTGCCTTTCCAACCTGTACCTCCACAGTTGCATGATCCTCTCCTACAAAATTAAACCAAGGAGGAGGCTGAGGTAGGAGGAAAAGATTTTGAAGGCGGCCTGAGAGCATCTCAGTAAGACTCCTTTAAAATGGAATGCAAAAGACATTTTGCATCCAAAAAATGTAAAATCAACATTAAAATATTAATACCTTTTCTGTAAACCAATAATAAGCTAGCTGAAAAAGAAATCAAGAAAACATGTCCATTCATAATAATTTTAAAAAGTGAAATTCCTAGAAATCAATCTAAGCAAGATGGAAAAAGGGTTTTACAGTGAAATTTATAGAACAATAAAGAGAAATTGAGGAAGATACCCTAAAATGGAAATTCATACACATTCATAGGTTGGCAGAGTTAATCTGGATTGTTTTACCCAAAATAATCCATAGATTTAATGCAATGCCCATCAATATTCCTTCTTCACAGAACTAGAAATAATAGTCCTAAAATTCATATGGAAATACTACAACAAATCCTGAATAGCCAAAGTAATCCTTAAAGCAAAAACACTATAAGGCTGAATGGGGACAGGCAAGCAGCACCAAACTCTCCTCTTACCACTTCTACACCACTTCCTTTGCTCCCACACAACTGCCTACCCACCAGTGAACTGGGACAACTCACTTCAGTGAACACCCTGACTATATCTAGCAGCCATTCTCCACCACTCCACTCCAACATAGGTGCAGCTCCGCTATTGGTTTGCATTCCTTCTCACGTCCACCACTTCAGATGCTGCTGTCACCTTTTTGAACAAAGGTGTGGACATCCTGACATGGCTAAGGTCATCAGGAAGTGAGGGATCTGGGCCCCTTGTAAATATCTCCAAATTCCACAGCTAGCTTTCTGGAAGTTTTCCTGGTTTCTGCCCTGGCCCCTCACTGGATCAGCGCCATGACAGCTGAGGCTTATTAGAGCCCTGTACTGATGAGGGGCTTGTACTTGGCCAATCACCGGCCTGCAGCTGCTATATATAAACAGCATTCCCCAGCTACTTTTCAGGTTAGTCTAGAAGGGCTCCCTCTGATGTACTGACCCCCACCCATAACCCTATGCTGCAGCATAGGCCCTATTAAAGACTGACTTTGGTGGTTGTGTAAAGCTACTTGTGATTTATTTCTCAGGTAGTGTGGGCTCCAAAATTCCTATGAATGTTGACAGATCAGGTGAAACCTGATCACAGGATATAGGTCACTGGTGGTGCAGCCTGGAAGAACACATCTTCTTTCTTCCTTCTCTAGATCACTCTTTTTTTTCCTGTCTGCCATGCTAGGAGCAACAGACCCTCTTCTGCCATGCCCCTCTGCAATGTTGCCTTGTTTTGGAGCTAGCTCGTTATGGGCTCAAACCTTGTTAGGGCTTGTGTCTATATGTTCCTCCAAAGCTTCATGCAGTTACAGTGGGGCTTTCTGAGAAGTGGCTGGATGGATTGAGGGTGTGTGATTGGTCCACCGATTGGTTTGGCACTTCCATAATCCTGATATCCTGGATAGAGTGTAAAAGGGGTAGACAGATGCTATGAAGGTCCCTTACTGCTTTGCTATCTTCTGCCCACCATGAATGTTTTTCTTCTTTACTTTGGGTGCTGTGTATTTTGTCTGAGAAAATAGAGAAACAAGAAAAGTAGTAAAATGAACCTCTACCAACTAAAAAAATAAATCTTTCCTCCTTTAATTTGTAGCTGTTTGGCATATGTTCCAGAGAAGAAAAGTAACTAAAACATGATGAGGGGCTTGTACTCAAAAATTTGGTAACAGAGAAGAGAGGTTATTGATGAGACACTCCCGGACTATGTGGTTCAGAAGCTTTTGGGATTGGTTCAAGAGAGGAGTTTGGAAATGTTTGGAGAAGCAGCTCTAGAATGCTATGAGGGCTGGGGAGATAGCTCACTTGAATAAGTGCTTGCGTGGCAAGCACAAGGGCCTGAGCTCAATCTCTGACTCTGAAAAAAAAATCCATTTTGGGGCTGGGGAGATAGCTCAGTGGAATAAGCACTTGCCTGGCAAGCAAAAGGACCTGAGTTCAATCCCTGGTTCCAAAAAGAAAAAAAAGAATGCTATGAGCCAAACTTAATAGGCCATTCTGGTTGAAGTCAGAACATCAGAATGCTGTTAGAAATCCAGATGGAAAAGACCGGGCTTAGGAGGTTTCTATTGAGAACAGAACACCACTGGAATTTGGAACTAAGACCATATTTGTTGTGCTCTGGCAGAAATTTTTTCTATATTTTGCTCTTGTCCTGAGGTACTGTGGGAGACTGAGATTAACAACAGTGGTTAAGATGTGTTATGTACATGTGTCAACTCCATACAAGAAGAGTAAACACTATGTATTAAAAACACACACAAAAAAGGGAGGAGATCAAAAGATGGAGAAAGAGGGGAGGGAAGGAAGGGAAAGGGGATTAAAATGCATTATGTGTTATGTACACATACCAGTTCTATACAAGGAATGTAAACATTAGGTACTGCAACATGTACAAAAAATGGAAAACAATCAAGAGATGGGTGGAGGGGGAGAAGGAAAAGAAGATGAAAAAAGGAATTAAGGTATATCATGTACATGTACAAACTTGCCACAAGAACTGGAACACTATATACTAGAAACATGTTGATTGTTGCAAAGCATATTATTTATTTTCTCAAGATGGTCAGTATTTTCTTTGATGTATACAATTGTCTGAGAGCATTTAATCATACAAGATACTCTGAAAAGTAACTTGAGAAAAAAAAATTTAAGTCAGGTCTTAATTTTTGTAGGCATCTTGGGTAGATTTTAAAACTACTTTTGTTGTCATGTTTGTCATCATTGGGCCACTGACCATGGTAACTAGGAATAGTTACACAGTTTCTGACCTTAAGATTTCACTGTACTATATAGAGACATTCTGATCTAAAACCTGGTAGATAATGATAAGTGTATCGTAGTGTATTATACCTTGAGATCTTTACTTCTTTGTTTACCTATAATTGGCAATTGTCCCAGTTACCTTTCTTTTGTTGCTGGGCCAAAATAATCAACAACCAAAATTAAGGAAGAAAAGGTTTATTTAGCTCACAGTTTGTAGAGGTTTCAGGCCATACTCAGCTGTTCCAAGACAGAGTGCCACATGGCAGAGGGCAGCAGTTCATGGCAGCAGAAAACAACAAAGAGAAAAGGGGGGAGAAGAGGCTGCAGCTTCAGAGAGAGAGAGAGAGAGAGAGAGAGAGAGAGAGAGAGAGAGAGAGAGAGAGTTTCTTCCCTCCTTGCATTGTAATGCAGAATACCCACCCCAGGGGGAATAGCTCTCACACCCATTATCATGAATTAATCACAAACTCTAGAATTTTCCCCAGTGACTAGATGAGGCTTTGTGGGGACACCTAGAAACAAGCTATAACAGCAAAGCATATTGTTTTGATCTTTATTCCTTAGGCCCACTAATTCTAACTAACTGCCTAACATTCTCCCCTCAAGAACTGGCACCCTAAAATTATTTAGAGCACTGAGACATTGCATCTTTCTGGCTATTTCTTGCTGAGGACAGCCATGTAAGGAAGAGATTTAGAATGCTCAGTCTTGCTTACTTTTAGTCCTGCAGGGTCAATCAAGGGTCACCATATAGATGACTGAACCAGAAGCCTATACAGTCATCTGAAAGCAGATATACTGTAAATGAGAGAACACAAAATTTAAGAGGCAGTTTGTTATGCATGGCCCAAGTATAAGGATTGTGAAAATGAAATTTATAATGTTTAAAAACTATTTCCCAAGTTGACTCAAACAGCCAAGACCTTATCATTTCCCCAGAACTAGGACTTGTAGGGACTTGTTCTTCTCTCAGAGTACCCCAGGGAAAAATGCAGCAGGAATGAGCAAAAGATAGATAAAAGACAAGAACTGGGTTCAGGTGGAGGCCTGTTTGCCTGATGGGCAAGGACCTGAGTAACAATAGGAGTATTTATTTATGCCTTTGCAAAATTAGTATCACATGATGCTAGGTTGCCTAGCAACTAATGACTGAATTTGTCCAGGAAGGATGCTTTTCTCAAGACTGAGGTAGATTGACTGCTTTACACACTGTGACCTTGTCCTGCCCTCATACATATGACCAATTTCCAGCCTCAGCTGCTCCCAGCATCTCTCCCCTTTCTGTTTTGTTGTGTGTAAATGATGGGCTGTCAGTTGCAGTTCGAGAAGCTATGCTTGGAGAATTCTGTACAGAAGACCTTGAAATTCCTGATGAACTTATTCATTTATGCTAAAGATTACCAGTCCAAAGATTTTACCTATATACATCAATTTAACCCTGTACATGCCAATGATCCACAACAATAGTGAGTTAGCACTATAGTTGTCAATTGTCAGAAGTTATTAGTGATTTGAACCTTTTATAGTTAGCATAGTATGATGGCATTTCCCCTCCACACACATTTTGTGGTTATACTTTTCTGCTGGATGGTTAAAACCAAGTTAAGGTGAAATTTTATTAATAAAAACTAATCCTTTGCTATCTACCAAGGTCAGTTAAAACTCCTATCTACTTTGGAACCTAGTATAGCACTTCTTAGATCTCCTGTTAGTGTCAGCCATCTGGATGAGTCAAGGCCATTGCTTGACCAAGTTGCTTTCTGTGAAATCATAAGAGATTTTTTCCTCTCTTGGTGACTCTCCTTAGGCACACTATATATTGTTGAATCATTTTTTTCTGTGGTCTGATAATCTCCTTGATCTGAAAATCAGGGACCCAGCAGAGTTATG